ATAGCTATAATTATATTCACATTTTATACATCTGTTTATATTGTATTCATTATATACTGTGCAGTCTTCATAATCTTTGCTTATGCATCAGCTGATACTGTTATTGCTCCACATTTTTCGTTTTTTTTTTGCTTATATACATATATATGTAATATTTTTACGCTGCCTACTAAAAGTTGATTACTTTGTATGATATCTTCTAGGTCTTGTTTATCTACCTTGGATATCATATTTGTTACACGAAGTTGCGGATTATCTTTTGATCGCGATGATATTGATATTATATCACTATTTTCGTTATTTATCATTTTTAATAAAGCCTCCGCGTCATGTTTGCTATTACACTTGATATATATGGTTCCATTATTAATTTTATTAATTTCGATCACTCTGGCCTTTGTTTTCTCGTACACTTGTTTTTGGACTATGTTTAATGCATCTCCCTTGTAGTTGGGTTTAGGCTTAATGACCAGTTGCACATAATTTTGCTTTTTTGGTATAATATTGGATACAACATTCGAATAGGTCTTGTTTTGTACAGGGGAGATTTTTTCTATGACTAATGTTCTTAAAAAGTTCAGTATTGTGTTGTGACAATTCCTTATTGATCTTTTTTTCATAGTTTAAGTAATTCATCATCTCTTGGCAGTTGATACATTCCTTTTCCTCTTTATTCAATTTACGTTTTTTGCTGGTATCACTCACAACAGACACTTGATCGTCTTCTAATTCCTCTTCTGTAAATTCTTCTATTGATGGTGTATCCAATCTAATAGCCATAGTCTTGTAACTGTTTTGCGATTAATAAACTTTTCTGTTCAACACAAGTTTTTCAATATCATTTCCACATTTAGCATAACATTATATCATATCTTTGAAGGTAAGGTTTGCATGCTTGGAGCACACTATTAGTAGCCTAGAGACGTAAAAACCTTTTCCAGCTTCCACTTTTCTCTTGAATTCAGATTTGCAGTATCCATCTTCACAAGTAATACACACTAACGATTTTTATTACTCTGTTTGGATGACAAAAATGTTTATTACAATCCGGCGGTATATCGCGCTCATCCATACTCGCCCACGCCATCTTGCAAAATACTTTTTTTTATCTTTTAACTCTGTTAAGTAAGACTTGCGTATAAATTATGAGGTATAATTTACTATACCTATTTTAATTGTAAAAATAAAGGTTTTTATTTTTTACGAGGGTTTTAATAGTTTTGCGCAAATAACTCGATACATTTTTATTACAAATAAATATTAATTTTATCATCAAGCGTTTCATTATTTAAACTTTATTATTGTCAACACTCACTACTAAAGTGATTGATTATCGCATATGCTGCAAAAATAATTTAGACCAATCAGGTAACAAAATTGCTCCATAGTCTTTAAAAAACTCGTATGGACCAATAAAAAATTCTATTATACTATTGTTAATTTTAATTTTTTTGTATGTAGCTTTACTATTTAACTTCATATATGTATGTACCTATGACATTGTATATGTTACGGATAATGTGCAAACTTGGATAGTTTATAAACTAGCTGGATAGTTTATAAACTAGCCAAACTGTCAGCTATTTTAATTGAAAACATATTTTCAACTAAATTAGCGGCTAGTTTACAAAATAACCAAGGATCTTGGCTAATTTACTTGAAATTATTAGGGAAACTAAAATAGCTGGATAGTTTGTATACTATCCAATTCAGTTTGGCTAATATGAAAACCAAAATTTCTAGTAACACAAAATAGCCAAGCTTTAGCTAGTTTGTAAACTAACCAACCAATTCTCTGGCTATTTTATTAAAAAAGTTAGGTTACGGCATTTTTTTTTTGTTTTGCCGGCTTAACCGGATTACTTTTGTGCATTTTAACGTTTTTAAAATAAATCATAGGCAAAATTTTAACGCTTCCTTGTTAAAAAACTCAACAACACAACCCTACCGACCCCGACTCATTGGTCAAATGGTCAAAAATGAGAGAAAAAAACCCAAACCAACCCAAACTCAACAACACAACCCAACCAACCCCGCCCCATTGGGCAAAAAACCCAACTAAAATGGGCAATAGCCAGAGAATTAGTTGGTTAGTTTACAAACTAGCTAAAGCTTGGCTATTTTGTGTTACTAGAAATTTTGGTTTTCATATTAGCCAAATTGAATTGGATAGTATACAAACTATCCAGCTATTTTAGTTTCCCTAACAATTTCAAGTAAATTAGCCAAGATCCTTGGTTATTTTCTAAACTAGCCGCTAATTTAGTTGAAAATACATTTTCAATTAAAATAGCTGACAGTTTGGCTAGTTTATAAACTATCCAGCTAGTTTATAAACTATCCAAGTTTGCACATTAGCCTTAACATATACATTAAATATTATATTTAATAAAATAATCTATGTATCTTTATAAAAATGATATGTACATATGTTAAATAATAATATTTAACGTGACGTGGTTTTAAAATGTCGAAAACAACAAGAATAATTGGGAAAAACACCTGTTTTTTCTTCGTTTTTTTCCCAGGTCTTAAAACATTGTCTTTATTTGAAAATATTGATTTTTTTGGAAAATATACCTACACATTTTAATAAAAAGTATCGATAAACAACTGGATAGCGTTTATCGAAAAGGAACCTTGCGCCAAAAACTATTTCTGGGATAAACAAAATTATTTGCAATATAACTCATTTTTAATGATGATTAAATTTTTGAGCATTATTAAATTTGAGTTATTTTACAAATAACTTTACTAAGCCCAGAAAAAGTTTTTGGCACTTGGTTCCTTTTCGATAAGCGTTATCCATTCCACACAAGGTGTCCCTAAACTTATTGGCATAAATTTAGGAAAAGATTGAGCAAGTAATATTAAGACGAAAACCTAAATAAATATTTTTCCTAATTACTAAGGTTTCCAAGATACAGGGTGATAAAGTGTTACTTATCATATCAGTTTTTTTAATTTAACTTCTACTATGGAAATCTTGCGAACAGTCACTTACTCCCAAAACACATATTCACACATAATTTTAATTGTTTGAGTGAACAAAGTGTCGTAAAAACAGGGGTTGCTTTAAGCCTATTGTCCCATACAAACTTTGAGGTTAGGTTTTTATAACATTTGATGCAATTTTTCGATTACACAGTTTGGCTACCATTAAAAAGGTGTACCGATAAAATAAACCGTTTAAAAGGATTAAAACGAATATGATAACAAATTTAATTTTTTAATTGAAAAAAACTAAAAAGGCATTCTACCAGCCTCGGGGCTCTTTGCCCTGACCGTAACATAAAAAAAAAATTGTAGTTTTTTCAATTAAAAATTTGTTATCATGTACCTTTTAGTCCTTTAATGCGATATAACAATAATTATTATTGAAATCTCGAATATATCGGAAACGGTTTATGTTATTGAAGTTTGAGAAGTACACCTTTTTAATAGTAGCCGAACGGAGTAATCGAAAAATTGCATCAAATGGTATAAAAACCTAACCACAATAAGCTTAAGCAACCCCTGTTTCTACTACACTCGAACAATTGTAATTATGTATGAATATGTGTTTTGGTAGTAAGTGGCTGTTCGCAAAAATATCACCTTTCCATGTCTACCATAGTAGAAGTTATATAAATATTTAAAAAAACTGATATGATAAGTAACACTTTATCACCCTGTATCTTTTAAACATACGCAATTAGGAAAAATATTTATTTAGATTTTTGTCTTATTTTGACTTGCTTAATCTGCTCCTAAATTTATGCCACTAAGTTTAGGGACACCTTTATTACAGAAAAAAAAAACTAAACATTGAATTGAATTTAATCAATTTAAGAAAATAAACATAAACGTTAAATATATTCCCTTTTTGCAAATTGAAAATATCCAATTACGAAATAATGAATGATTTTTGCGGCCCGGTAGAATATTCTCACTGAATTAAAATAAAAGAAATAATTATTATAATAATTTATATATAATATAATTATATTATATTATATATTATATTATATGATTATAATTATAATCATCGTCGGAAATTAATAAAACTTTCTTTATTTGTAAAAATTATTTATAGATATATCTATTATAAGTACAAATTTGTATTTTTTTTTTGCATTTATTGCCCTTTAAATAAAATACAAAAAGGAAGTAAATGTTTCTGAAAATTTCCCAATTTTTCGGTTTTTTTACGTCGCGACGCGTCGGCTCAATTTTTCCGAAAATGTTATAACCCTAAAGGTGACCAACCGTACCGGATTGACCGGTACATGTTCCAGTTTTTTATTTATTTAGGTCATATTACCAGATTTCGAAAAAAATAGAGATAAAATTGTATTATGTTTTTCAAATATCCCTGAAACAGAAAATTTTGTTGATAATGATTTTGTATTATTCATTGTAATATAAAGGTTTGTAGTTAACATAACATATAAACATATAAAGTAGATTTTTGTCCAGACATTCCCCACCCGATCAAAAGTGTCTCTGAGCTCACCCGTTGGGAGCTGCAGCTAGCTGTTTAACCTAACCTAGGATAATACAGCGTTTAAAAAAAAAAAATTTTTTTAGTTCAATAAAATAGTCATAAATTTTTCAGTAGTCACCTTGTAATAATTAAATAATATAAGAAATAGACAGATAAACCTTTTTATATTGTTTTTATTAAAAAAATAACTAGGTTACAAATCATTATATTATATATTATTCATATGATGTTTATTATTGGAATTTACATCGTTAATGCTTAAAATATTTTCATTTTAGTTTTATTTACTTTTACCTATGAACGACTTTTAAAAATATTGATTTTGAAAGATTTAGTTTACATGGATTTTTTATAGGGTACAAAACACAATAAATATTGTTTTTTAAATAAAGAAAAATCCACTCTTTAAAGGCACTTTAATGTTTGTTTCCTTTTAAAAGTTGATTTTTGTTTTGTATAGCAATTTAATAATTATATAAAAAATAATAAAGTTCGTTTTACTATCTTGTTCTAGGAAATGGACCAAGCGGTATTGCAATTTCATACATGCTCTCAGGCAACGTACCTTTTCTTACCTCAGACTTTCATCCTGACGAAATGCTCTCAGCTAGACTACGAAGCGTCCTCGGAGAATGCCTTATAGATCAAGACCTAGAAAATCTAGCCATGGGCTTAGAGGGCAGATCCACAAATTATATTTCCTTACTTATGGACGCCCTTCTTAGACCCTGTGCGGACATGGGATTAGAAATGAAACCTCTTATTGAGTTTAGAAAACAAGGAATTAAGGTAAACATTGAAAAAATTAATAGTTATAGATATTTTAGGAACAAGCAAATCTTCCTAATAACCGGAAAATCCATTGCTTCTTAAGATATATGCCCAAACGATTAAAACTATACCAAATTTATATCTTTAAAATCAAGGCTTAAAGGTGATTGTACATTGTATTTTTGTGTAATATAGCTAAAAAAATATTAAAAATCATATTTAATACCTACAAAATAATTTTAAATATTTTTTGTATTAGTTCAATGTTGTATTGAGATCAAGCAACATAAATGTAACCGTGCTGACCCGTGTTATATTGCTCGGTTAAGGATAAACAATAATAATAGTAAATACTTTGAACGGATCAATAAAAGTATTTACTATCAATTTGATCCCAAGAAACACAAGTATACTTTATAGCCGTCTATATCCACATTATTTTATAAGATAACTATAGTTATACAAATAAATACTTATAGAACATATATAACACACTATACATTAATTTATACATACATTAAAAAATTGTAATAATAAACAAAAACATATTCCTCAAAATACTAACATTCCAATTCGACACTCAGGAAACAAACACACAGACTAGTTCCTTATCAAGGGCCGTGATATTGTTTTTCTTTTTTGTTGATGAGCTTCTGGCTTGTCTATAATTAATTTCAATATTGTCTGCTCGTAGTAAACAAATTTGTTTTTCTTCTCCGCATTTAATTTACTTAATTCAACAATTTCGTAGTTATTAATGGAATTTTTTGGAATTAATCTAATCAAGTTGAAACGAGTGGAAATTTACAAAGCAATAATGCGTTATATTATAAAAACTAGTTACATATCGTATTCTGACTGTTAAGAGTTACCAAATCAGTAAATGCCGGTAAGGAGTCGTCTATAAAGTACGTCACACATTTGTTGGGGATTATAGATACCCCCTTCACATATGGTCACAAAGTCTTAACCCCCTCCTCCCTAAGGTCCCACGAAACTTTTTTTAATTTTCTGTTTTTTTATAAATTGTACAAAATTATTATTTTTTAATTGATCCACACTGTTTAGTTTACACGGATGTTTCCTATTATGAGACTACTTATTGGTTTATTTGACGAAATTATTATTTTAATTTAAACCTTTGCACCTAAGGTTCCCAGAAATCAAAATGTCCCAAATAGGAAAAATTAACTCGAAAATATGGAATTTTAAAATAATATCCCAAGTAGCATTTATAGTGGTTAAAACGTGTGGGCCACTTATACTTGGAACTGTAAAGTATATTGCCAAAATCTGTGCCACGTGGTAGAAACGGTTCTATTACGTGGAAGTGACTAAAATGGGGAACACTTTTTTAGTGTCAGTTACGTTTTAACACGTTCTTGAATTATATACAGAAACGTTAATACCACGTTGTGATTACGTTACTATAACGTGGAGGTATAGAGGCCAAAACTTAATCGTAACTTTAGTAATCTTTACTTTATATCCCCGCCTCTTTCTTATTTTTCTTATTATCTTTGCTTTCTCTGACTGGATATTAAACTAACACTGAATTTTAATATTGTAAGAGTACAACTTGCAAATAATAACTAGAATTAAAATAATCCAAAGACATAAAATTAACACGAATTAAATTTTACTGTTAAACATGGGTTTCATAGCTTGAAATATAAGCACGCCCTGTTGAAATATGTGGTAATAAAAAAGAATAAAAAAATCTATAAATTTAGCGGATATAAAAATTATTTATCTAGAGGCCTAAAATTATTTTTTTTTTATTTCTGGTCACCTGAAACCAATAAATATGTATTAACGTGTTAAATTTTGTGCTGTAATAACCAGAATTATTTGTTTAAAACTACATATTTATTTCCTTACAATGGCGATTATTTGTAAACATGTCTGATTTTGAAGACGGGAACTTTAAAGTGGTAATTTTATATGAAACGTGGAAATCACTTAAGCATGTAGCAAGAACGTGGTAATCACCACCGCAATTATATAATCAAGTTTTGCCACATTCAAGGTTTGAGAAAAGTTCCGAAAACGTTGCCAAAACTGATATACCCACTTTACAACTACTACCACTTCAAAGTAATACTTAAGTGATGTGATTTGGTTACACTTACTATTCATAATCCACTCTAAAGTTTAGACAACTTTAAGGTGGTGTCAAAAGTGGTCATAACATTTGAGATACCAGACTAATAAACCAAATAGTTATAAAACTATAAAGTATATTCTGCTGGTGCAAATCATATGATTACAACTATGCTAATATAATATGGAGATATTTTACGTGGTAGATTTAGTTATTTAAACGTTATTGCCACTCATTTGAAGTGGTGATATCAGTTCTCGTCACTATAATGCTACTTGGGATATAGAATATTTTAATACATCATTACATTATTATGTGCCAATAATTACTAATTTATTAAAAAACAACATTAAGAAAAAATAATATAAATATACAATAATAATAAATAATTATTATTTTATGTACTTTTACAAAAAACGCATACAAAAAACAAATTATCTGTTTCCTAATAACATACTTAAATTTTATTGTACTAATTTAAGTTTGTAAAAATAATTAATTGTCTGATTTTTTCTAATAAAATTTATTTTCCAATATTATTTTACCTGATTCACAAAGTTATATAATCCAATAAAAAAGCAAATGAAGCATTTTATATTTATTAAGCGTAATAAATTTTTATTAATAATTTGTTATTTTAATAAAACATTCGTTAAAATAATTACTAAATCTGTGGGATAATCTTCTGAAGTTTGTCGGTCAGACAATAACAGTTTGGGTAAATTTTTAAGCCCGTATTACAGTCTGCAATTACTTGCAGCAACTTTCTTGCATGCAACTTTCTTGCACGAAGGCATGCGCATAGCGACGTTTCGTGCAAGTTTATTGCCGTTTTAAATTATCGGTCCTGCTCGATTTTTATTGCCAGTTCGGTTGGAATTGCAAATTGTTTTATAGTCAGCAATAAAACTTGCATGCAAGAAAGCTGCTGCAAGTAATTGCAGAATGTAATACGGGCTGAACTCTTGAAATATCACAGCTAAACGCTTGGATACGTACATCAACAAAATTTTTGGTCGTATATTTCAAATCCGTGCTCAGTATCAGGTCTAAAAAGTTTTTTTATTGGCAATCCGACTCGGGGACACACTGTTTAATAGTATATTATAATTTGTAAAAAAATATATACATATTTCACTTCTTGTGCCAATATATTCCCAGGATTTTTAGTTCGTTTAATATATTATAATACACTCACAGGCAAAATAATCGATCCACACAAATTTTCGACGAATTTCAATGGCAAATAACTTTTTTATTTGATTTCGGATTTAAACAAATATTAAAGAATATTATAGATACATTAATGGAGAATCGCTCACATTTTAAAAATTACTAAAAAATACACGTACTTTTATAATATACAGGTTTAAACAAAAATATGTTTTTTACCATAAGTTTAAGACACTCTGTAGAGTGGCAAAACTATTGTTCTGAATTAAGTTTTAATTATCAAATCTATTTTTAACAGTTTTGTTTTTGGTTCACCTTGATATATTTATTTTTGTGAAAAATATGGCTTTAAAAAAAACATTGCAATTTCCAATATTTTTCCTGTATGAAGAACTAAGGTTGCTATGGTCCATCCATAGCCTATGGAGGATGACAGTGACAGTTTTGTTGAACCATCCCATACTTGGACATGTCATATACAGCTTTCAAAAGCTATAAAATTGTTTTTTGTAAATTAATGTGTTAATTTTGAGGTGTCTTCTTACTTTTAAAAATGTCTCCGACTGATGTTGCCCTTTGTACTTTACTTCTTGTGACTTTAAAACACTTCCACGTAATACTGTGACCGTCCATCCTGGATTAAATTAATGACTCTGGCAACATCAGTCGGAGACATATCCATTTTTTAAGGTAAGAAAACACCTCAAAATTTAAACAGTAATTTGCAAAAAACAATTTGATAGCTTTTGAAAGCCGTGTATGACATGTGCAAGTATGGGATAATTCAACAAAACTGTCACTGTTATTCTTCATAGCCTATGGGTGGACCATAGCAACCTTAATTCTTCATACAAAAAAATATTGGAAATTGCAATGTTTTGCAATGGTTTTTTTTTTTAAATCCATATTTTCCACAAAAATAAATATATCGAGGTGAACCACAAACAAAACTATTAAGAATAGATGTGACTTGATAAATAAAACTTAATTTTGAACAATATACGGTTTTGCCACTCTTAAACTTATGGTAAAATACATATTTTTGTTTAAACCTGTATATTATAAATTTTTTTGTAATTTTTTAAAATGTGAGCGATTGTCCATTAATTTATCTACAATATTCTTTAATATTCGTTTAAATCCGACATCAAATAAAAAACTCATTTGCGATTGAAATTCATCGAAAATTTGTGTGGATCGATTATTTTGCCTTTGAGTGTATAATAAAAAACATTTTGAATTTCCTAAATTATCTAAAAAAACTGACATGGGGTCCAGCCCAATTGATTTTTTTACATTTATACAGGGTGTTTACTAATAGGATGCTCCAAAACCTCAAAATTAAATATCTTTGAAGTTTGACCCGATACACCTAAACCAAGCACGGATTTGTAATCTATTTATTTACTTTTTGAGGTGAAGTTTATTGATTACGTCTACAAAAACTGTCAATATTTACCTACTTATTGTTAAACAATATAAGCAAAAATTGTTCTTTCAAGTTTTCCATTTATTAACTTCATAGCTTAATCTAATAATTTTTATCGCAAAGTGGTTTTTACTCTTCTATTTTTGTCAAACTGGTCAAAAGCGGTTATCAAAGATATTAATTATCACACAATATTTGCTGTATTTATTTAGTATTATTACCTTTGTTGTATTATTATAGATAATGGTTCTGACTAAGGTATAATGAATGTTAAGTCAACAGGGAATGCAATAAATAATATTACATAACACATTCTTATTAGTATTGAAACTAACAATTTTTTTGTTTTAATAATTTTAGATTGATCACATTGTTTTGGGTAAGGGCCCCCCTGGAGGCACATGGCACAAAATGGACCCCCACATACTGACTCTATCCCTCGGAAGTTGGATGGCACTTCCAGGGTTGCCGTTTAATTGTAGGGACTCGGGCGAAAAAAGGGCTTATGCCAGCAACGTTGCCAACTACTACGAACGTTACGTGCAACACCACAAACTTACAAAATACTTTAAAAACGACGTTGTGGTGACTAACGTGGCGCCCTTAGGCGGTAACATAGAGAGATGCGTAAGCGAGAAAAGTATCCGGAACAACAAAAAAGAAATGGTGGTTTGTCTTGATTCAGACATCCAGGAAGTAAAAAGTACCTGTTTTATTTCGAACGCGTTGAACTGCCTGCTGGCCAAGGCAAACAGGAAAAAAAATCGCTGCTTCAAAAGGCCGCACGATGTCATAAGAGAACAAAGCCCATCGAGAAAAAGCAGGGATATAGAAAACGAAATTCGTCCGGCTGTCGATTCCTCTTCGAGGCAGGACAAAACCAGATCTATAAGTTTTTGCTGTGATTCTAATAAATTTTGTGATACTAATGCCAGTAGATCTTTTACTGACTCCTATAGTTTATGCTACAATACTCTACAAAGCTCATATAGCATGGATTTCACCAAGCCCAGAGTGCCTTATTGCCAAAATTCAAACTACATTTCCAGGGTTGATGACTGCTGGATAGTCAATACTGTGGAAAACGAGACTGGAAAAACAACAACCTACAGGTAAATAATTAAAAAAATATAAAAATAACTAATCTTAATGTTTAAAAACAATTAAAACACTCACTTACAGTGGGTTGCCATATTATTAGGGACAGTAGTTCAGAAGGATTTAGTGAGGAGATTAACTTTTGTTTCCTGAGATTTTTATTTTGTATATTTGCTCTTGGTACTACATATTTTTAAATATACCCTGTATATTTTTATACCCGGTGAAAAGTGTCGATTTTAAAACTTTATGTTTTTATTCAATGGAGCAGCCCATATATTTTTAAAATTTTATTTTTAATATAACGTAATAAAATTGCATTCTATAAATATGTGTGATGTTCGATTAAAAAAAAACAAAAAATAATTTTTATCTATTTTGGTTTCATAATGACTTCATTATAACACCGCTTTTGGTTCTTTAATGAGGTACTTTATTCCACCCAAAATTTTGATTTTATAGGTTGGCTACTGGTAAAATACAATTTTGAATACCTATAGGTTATAATATTTTTATGATTTGTTTTCTAGTACTTACGAGACTTTTCGTGCAATAAATTTTGTTTAACACCAAAGAAAATCCTTTTTTCTTCTTTAACAGCCGCTTATTGTAAATACTTATTGTAAATTAACGACGCCATAGCGAAAGAATGTGATAATGTTTGAAAGGTTAATGACCCTTCAAACTTCAAAATGTGATACCAACTATGTAAAGTAAAATTCCACCAAATATTTAAATATAAGGTATAAAATTAATTTGTTTTATGAAATGTTTGCAAAATAGATAAAATAGCATAAAGAACTCATGTCATAAGACCTTTTGTCGCACTTGTCCATTATAAAACTCGCTCCTTCGTCGCTCGTTTTATAAATTGTCCGCGTGCGACAAAATGACGTCTTATGACATTAGTTCTTTAATATACTATTAAAATTGCATATTTCAATGGGTATAAAAATACCCTGTATAATATTTTGGCACGTTATACGCATGTTACACTTCGCTTCTAAAGATTTTCTTTGGCGAAAGGTACTTTAAGCACTTTGTGTTTTGTTTTGGTGTTGGGGAATATTTTTTGTTTAACATAACAAAGTTGTCCTTTTTCAAGTAGTAGTACATTTCAATCAGTGGAAAAAGTTCGCAAACTCTAAACTCATTCCACTAATTATAATTGGATAGCGCCTTTGCGCATGTGCGCGGAAATTTTATGTCAAATGTTAAAAAGTTTAAAGATTTGTCAGTAAAGGTAATAATTTATATAACCTTAAGGTTATATAAATAATATTATATTGGTTGTAAAAAATTATTATTCTAATATAATTAATTTTGTTTATGTCAGGATAAGAAGAATGGACAATCTTTTAGCAAATTCCATTAATTTTATATGTTAATTTTGCTCATTGTGAATGATCGTTTTGTGCTAATTATAATTATAAGTATAATTGAAACCACTAGTTTATTCCACTAATTACAAGGTTCTGAATGAGGAAGAGGTTCTTAAAGAGATTGTCTAATTATTTAAAAAAATAAATAACTTAATAAAATTATGTTTTTTTTAATAATTAACTTTAAAAACTAAATTATGGTTGTCACCAAATAAATCAAACCAAATATTAGAATGACAGATTGATAATTTTAATATGGACTTATCCTGTAGAACTTTTACAAAAGAAGTGACATAAATTTTTGGTAATATTCATAACACAGTTTAGTCTTAGCAACTTTAATAATTTTTTCCTCGGAAACCAGAAACTTTGTAAGTGTCTCTTATATACTTTACTACAACCTAAAATTTTTTCAACATTTTCTCATAGCGACTATATTATTATATCGTGCCCGAACCTCCTTCATCTTCTAAAAGACTTTTACATGCATAAACAAAAAATAATGTAAACTCAAGTGGACGTTGAAAAACAATAAACCTAACTAAATAACTTAAATTTTAAGAAATTATCGTTAAAAAATACTTATTTAGCGATAGTTAATAAAATAAACTTTGTTTAACTTTTTAACAAACCATTTTATTGTAATGTATAATTACTTATGAACTGTTTTCTTTTAGTTGTAAATACTTGGTCCTAGCAAACGGATCAAGCGACCTGCCAAACAAATTAGAAATTTCCCAAGGTGACAAAGAACCCGATTGGTTGATTTCAGACATGATGACCCTGGAAAGCCAACTTGACGAAGAAACTAAAACAAACAGGGGCGAGGTACAGCCAGTATTAATAGTAGGCGCTGGACTAAGCGCTGCGGATGCGGTAATCGCCACGAGGGGGCGCAATATTCCCGTTATACACGTTTTTAGGAATAAATCGTCGGATTTGAATAAGCAGCTCCCTGAGAATTTATATCCTGAATATCATAAGGTAATGGCTCGATTTTATGTTTGGTTAAAATTTAACTAATTTATTTTTTATTCAATATCGAGTTTAATATTATTCGTTTTACTGTACTTATATAATAATTTTTATTACTTTAAAGTCTTGATAAGGATACAATTAAAACGTCAAGATAAAGACAAATCTTTGCAAAATAAAACTAAAATTAACCTCATAAATAAACTATTTTTTTAATAATGAATCCATATTTATTTATTCGTAAATCCGTGTTACTGAGAAATCAAAAAAAAATATCCAATCTAAAAAAATGAGTTTGCAAATTTTGAACTCCCACACTCCCCAAAACTGTCGCCATTAAAATTGTGTTTGTTCTGCAACAATTGTCTTAACCAAATTTGTTGGGGCCTGACGTTTTGGATAGGTAATTTTTTCATCTATAAAACACCTTTTTCTCTCCGATTTACTGAAAGTTATTTGCGTTCAAAATCGAAATTTAAATCGAGGGAGCGGTAGAATGCAGACCGCTTATTTGCATTTTATCCAAACCAAACATACAAGTTCATAACTAATATTTTTGTATTGTATTTTTAGGACGTTTTTTCTTAAAAAAAAATTGGATTCTCAATTAAATGACGTTAAGTATTAATGTTGAAAAGTGAATAATTAAAAAATAAATGCATTTTTTTATTGTTACAATATACAAAAAAAAACAAATAAAATAAATTTACATACAAAAAGTTGTAAGTTACAACTATTGCATTACAAAAAAAAGGCAACCGGCATTTGACTTTGTTTCAGAAATAAAAGTAACTGGAAGTATTGAAGCGTCTTTTTGTAATAATAATTATACTAATTATCAATCTGCAGGTAAAAATGATATTCAGGCCAATTCACTAACATGAGTCGTTAACGTTAGCCACTATATTAGTGGTTATCGTTATATCTAAACGACCTGATTGGAAGGAATGGCTGATAACTACTGATTCTAGTGGCTAACGTTAATGACTTATGTTAGTGAATTGGCCTGATTGACGAGTTTTTTAAATCATTCGTGCCTAGTTAAATCGGTTTTCAACAATTTAGTAATCAACAAAAATGATGTGTCTCATAAGCTTTTATCAAAAATGAAATTTTCTGAGAAATGTAAAAAAAGATTTTCTCTTTGTTACCCCAATACTGTATAATGCAATAGTACGTTGTTATACAGGGTGTCCGAAATATGGCGCAACAACGGCATACCACGTTTTAGGGGGGTTATTTCAAGTACCTATACAAAAAATTACAAAACATTTTTTTACAAATAGTTTTAGTTATAAGGGTTTAAAAATATCATTTCATTTTCTTAATTTAATTCTTTAAGATGTATTTATACAAGGTTTCCCTAAACTTAGTGGGATAAATTTAGGAGCATATTAAGCAAGTCAAAATACGACGAAAATCTAATTAAATATTTTTGCTAATTACGTATGTTTAAAAGATACAGGGTGATAAAGTGTTACTTATCATATAAGTTTTTTTTAATATAACTTCTACTATAGTAGACTTGGAAAGGTGATATTTTGCGAACAGTCACTTACTACAAAAACATATATTCACACATAATTACAATTGTTCGAGTGAACACAGTGTAGTAGAAACAGGGGTTGTTAAGCTTATTGTCCCATACAAACTCTGAGGTAAGGTTTTTATACCATTTGATGCAATTTTTTGATTAATCAGTTCGGCTACTATTAAAAAGGTGTACCTCTCACACTTCGATAAAATAAACCGTTTCCGAGATATTCGAGATTACAATAATTGTTATATCGCATTAAAGGATTAAAAGGTATATGATAACAAATTTTTTAATTGAAAAAACTACAATTTTTTTAATATGACGGTCAGGACAAAACCGAGGATCATGGAATGCCCTTTTTAGTTTTTTAATTAAAAAATAAAATTTGTTATCATATACCTTTTAATCCTTTTAAATAATGCGATATAACAATTATTGTAATCTCGAATATCTCGGAAGTTTGAGAGGTACACCTTTTAAATGGTAGCCGAACTGTGTAATCGAAAAATTGCATCAAATGTTATAATAATCTAACCTCAAAGTTTGTGACAATAAGCTTAAAGCAACCCCAGTTTCTACGACACTGTGTTCACTCAAACAATTGTAATTATGTGTGAAGTAAGTAGTAAGTAAGAGTAAGTAACTGTTCGCAAAATATCACCTTTCAAAGACTACCATAGTAGAAGTTATATTAAAAAAACTGATATGATAAGTAACACTTTATCACCCTGTATCTTGGAAACATAAGTAATTAGGAAAAATATTTATTTAGGTTTTCGTCTTATTTTGACTTGCTTAATCTTTTCCTAAATTTATGCCAATAAGTTTAGGGACGCCTTGTATAATAGAATTAAACACAATTTTCTAATAACGTTTCAAAAATAAAAAGTTAAAATTTGGTAATGTTTGTGCATTTTAATCACACGAGGCGAGTTGCGCCGGCCCTTAAAAACAAATATCGGTTAATTAGGAATCCAAAATGACGAAAATATAAAGTAAATCGATTTTCAAGAAAAACATTAAGAAAATGATTAAAATTAAAATTGTTTATTGTATAAAAAAAAAATTTAATTTAACATTTTTTCAATAAAATTTTTGAACAATTTTTATTTGGGGAAAATTTTATCAAAATTATCCAAAAAAAATCATTCAAAAACACTTGTTAATAACTTTTGTAATATTTTATATTTTTTAAAAATTGTAAAAATATTTACAAAAACCAATAATTGTTTTCTGTATTCTATAAGTCGGGTAAATAGTGGTTCGATTCACGCATGCTTTTAAAACAATTTTATTATAAATATGGGATTTTTTAGGTTAGACAGATGATGCAAGACGGTGGCTCCACTTACCCTCTATACACAGCCTACCCTGAGTACAGCCTCACGGGAGTTGACGAAGAATCCCGAACAGTAATCCTAACCAACAAAAACGGCGACACCGAGAAGATCCAGGTGTCATTCGCGGCCATTTTGATTGGATCCAGGCCGGACCTGTCATTTTTGCCGGAGCATAGATATGTTGGTATCAACAAAAAAGCACCGGTCGATTGTAAGACAAACACGATCGATATCAATAAGTCCACGCATAAGGTGAATGGTTACAAGAACTTGTACGCTATTGGTCCGTTGGCTGGCGATAACTTCGTGAGGTTCATACCAGGGGGCGCTTTGGCGGTGGTGGCGGATTTGTACAAAGAAAATCGGTACATGACGTGATCAACTTAATTTATCAGTTGAACTATTCCTTACCATATTGTACGTGTATTTAATTTTATAGATTTATAAAGTGCATTATTAGTTTTTAAATTGTGTATGATATAGCAGAGGGCTTTTTATTTTTGATAGAATTGTTTGATATACTCAATATAAGTGATATTATTATAATACATATTTTACTACTTAAATTCTACATTATACAAATTGTTTAAACTTAAATGAGATTATTCTATTCTAATTTTAAGTACAACACTTGTTGACTTGGTTATAAATTATAAAACCTTATTATATTTATAAGATAATTTTTATATAGTATTTAATATTGTGCAATCACATTCTTTATTATATTAATATTTATTTTTTATTATTGCATTTATTATCAGATCAATTTATATTTTAATGGCCATTAATGATTAAAAGTGCAATCAAAATAACATTAAATTGATATTGTTAAATTTATACAATTAGATTGGAGTTAATAAAACTGTTTTTATTAAGGAAATTTAATTTAATCCCATAGTCAAAAACTGGCGAAAGAAAAACAAAGTGCTCTTTTTGTTATTTATTATTACACGCTTTATATTAGCTTCACTTGTAACACACAAATTAATTAATTAGTTATAACAAAAATGTAGGATGTCGATTTATCCTACTTTCACCCAACCATTGAGCTAAAATTTTGAACACACTTTTAGTGCTGGTGACAATAAAATCTAGTATACTAGATGGCAGATAACCTTTTACTTTATTTACCCCTTGAGATGGGTGATATGAAATGAAAGGGATAAGGTGGGTGACGTCATACTAAATCCAATACGGCGACCGCCTCAAGATGGCGATTTACCTATTTCTTCACAACCTTGATCTGGGAATCAAATGAAAGGGTTTGGCGAGTATATAACGTAAGGTGAATGACGTCTAATAAATCGAATATGGCGATCGCCGCAAGACCTCTGACATGTAGATCAATAAATCCAATAGGCGGAAAATGAAAAGGTTTGTCAAGCAAAATACGTGACGTCATTCCAATATCAATGTAATATAATAAATAAATTATGTACATGTACATAACTGCAGTTACACTTCTTTAGTTGAAGAAAGATAATTTATACAATTAATAAAGGTTTCATTAAAAAACAAAAACATCATTTTAATTATTTACAAAAGTTTTGGAAATCCTAAAGGATATAGGAAAATATATTTTTGCACAACCGCCTGGTATCAAATGAATCAAGTAGAATACGTCATTATAATTTCAATATGGCGGATGTAGTTAACAGTTAACCTTCTTTCTCTGGTAAGTTAACAAACTATCTAATTGAAAACTAAAATTTTTTATATTTAGTTAAAAAAAACTAAAAACACGTTTTAATTCACTAAAAAGTTTAAAATAATTTACTTCAAAAATGTTGTCACGTCTTAAGCATAATTATGCTGTGTCGAAATTAATAGTATACGCTTTTCTAAGAAACGTACCTAACCAAAACGCTTCCCATGATTTTTGGTATGGTCATTAAAATCAAGAATTAACATATTTATTAATAACACAAAATATTGTAAATTCATTATTTTTTCTACTTCCACCTTTAAAACGCCCATTATCGTCCATGTTTCCTTGACACTAAGTGACCTTTTAAATACACATTGACAAGTTGTGGCTTTATGGCGTTTTAGTCACGGGCTGAAGAGCAACAGGTTTTTAGACACGGGCTGTGTGAGAAAGAATAATAATACTCTTTCCGTTTAAATTAAAGTCTATTTACTATTAAAAATATAAAGAGATTAATATAATTATATAACAAATTAATAGAGAACGTGTGTCGAGTAAAGGGTGAACTCTGACTGCCTTTTCAGAATGTTCCTCGTCGTGCCTGTGCCTCTCAGGGAAGATAGATAAATTCCTAAAAGCCACCTGCATAAACAAACAAATGTCTAGCCTGGCGCTTAACGGGATCGACTCCCACGATCGCTCTTGAGTCGTCTCAAATTTCGTTACAGTCGGCCATGCTACCCCTTTTTCCGTCCTCGGAAAATATTCGTTTAATCCTATGGAAAATGTCAAATTACTAAAAGATTACATTGCGTAATTTATTGTGGGTTCAACATCCATGAACAAATAAATTAAACCAAAATAAACAAATCATAGCCTTTTTGCTACATACTAAATTACATTTCTTTTTAACCGAAATTTGTCATGAACGGATCCCAATAAATTTTATGTCACATTATGTATTTGTGTGTTTGCTTTACCAAAAACCCAGAAAAACAACACTATTTGGTTCTCACGTCAGAACTCAAACAATGAAGGCCCTGAATTCTTTGTAAAGCAAACTAAGCTCTTATTCATTCTTAAATTCTACGTCAGAATTTAAGTCTGAATCGTTTTTACTACAATCGTGCGTAGTGTAGAGCTTCGTCTTGTCTGCAGCATAAATTACGTTTTACTCACTCACGAGTTCTACGTCAGAACCTGAGTTTGAGTCGTCACTACTACAATCGTGCGTAGCAATGTATGGCTTTAATTTATCTGCAGGACATACACCCTGATACTTTTTACTAAGCTCTTATTCATTCTTAAATTCTACGTCAGAATTTAAGTCTGAATCGTTTTTACTACAATCGTGCGTAGTGTAGAGCTTCGTCTTGTCTGCAGCATAAATTTCGTTTAGTCCTTTTACTCACTCACGAGTTCTACGTCAGAACCTGAGTTTGAGTCGTCACTACTACAATCGTGCGTAGCAATGTATGGCTTTAATTTATCTGCAGGACATACACCCTGATACTTTTTCCGTGCTCGTCGTGTGCCCGGTAAATCGTTTATCAGGTACCTATCGTGATTAAGTACTTTGGTCACAACGTATGGACCGCTGTATTTAGGTAGCAGTTTCTTACTTTTACCCTCGTTAGTAAAAGCATTCCTTCGTAGGAGTACCTGCTCACCTACGTCGTATACAATAGGCTTTTTACGTTTAGCATCGTAATATGCTTTTTGCTTTGACTGTGCAGCCGTTATCCGTCGTGTAGCTTCTTCTCTAACCGTACTCATATCGTGGTCAACATTTTCGTTCTGTTCGACTTCATGAGCCAGAAATGCGTCGTGGATTCCCTTAGGTTTATACCCGAAAAGAAGCTCGTGTGGGCTTTTACCCGTAACGCTCTGCACTGCCGCATTAATTCCAAAACGTATGGAACCAATGACGTCATCCCACTTCCTCTCGTCGTCAGCCGTCGCTGACAGGGAAGTCAGGATCGTACGGTTGTATCTTTCAACCTGCCCGTTGGCTCTAGGTGTTGCTGTTGCGTTTAGCACTACCTGTATTCCAAGACGTTTCGTGTAGTCTTGAAAAAGTTTACTCGTATAACAAGTCCCTCTATCACATATTATTCTGTGTGGCACCCCAAAAGTGGTAAATGTTTCATCACAAAATTTTATTACAGGAGCCGTTTTTGTTGATGATACTGCCTTTGTCCATAAATATTTCGTAAAACCATCCACTACAACTATTAGGTAACTGTTTCCTTTGCTACTTTTTACAAAAGGTCCCAGATGGTCAATATGAATGGTGTGCATCGGTTGTGGTACTTTCTCAATGGGGTGTAGTAAACCTTCTTGTTTTCCCGCAGGTACTTTATTATATAAACATCCCAAACAACAAGTTATATACCGTTTAATGTACTTTCGCATTCTCGGGAACCAATAACACTCGCTCATAGCTTTAAGGGTCTTATCTGTAGCCAGATGTCCTCGTTTATCGTGGTAATATGACACTAAAATACGGCGAGCCCTTTTTGGCACGTACCATCGTAACCCTCGGTCAGTGACCTTATAAAGTCGTTCGTTTTTAATCGCATATTCTTTATGTACGTACTTGTCGTTTGCATCGATTGGCTTTTTAGATAAAATTTCAACCAGTGATTTGCATTGTTCATCCTGTAACTGTGCTGATAAAATCCAATCATCTTCCGTAATGTTTACTTCAAGAATACTTATTATTTCAGGTAAAACTGCGTTTTCTTCTACCGGATTCCTGCTAAGGGCATCTACATGACTCATTTTCGTACCCGGTCGATATTCTACAGTAAAATTAAACTCTTGGACGGCTAACCACCATCTTGCAATACGCGGAATTAAGTCTCGTTTAGACATAGCTGTGCGAAGTGCATTACAATCTGTAACCACTTTAAATTCGGCACCCAACAGGTAGACTCTGAACTTTTGTAGAGAACACACTACTGCTAGGGTTTCAAGTTCGTACGAATGGTATTTTTGCTCTTCTGGTGTAGTCTGCCTGCTAAAATACATAACCGGTTTTAAATTTTCGTCTTCTTGCCACTGTAGTAAAATTCCTCCAAGACCTCGACTCGAAGCATCTGTATGTAGTTCAGTCTTAAATTGGGGGTTAAAAATTGCAAGCGTAGGTCTACTTATTAAATTTTCTTTAATAAGCTGGAAAGCTTTTTGTTGTTCTTCAGTCCAAAGAAAATTAATATCCTTTTTGGTTAACATCGTCAATGGGCGTGCTATTTGGGCAAATCCGTTGATATATTTTCTAAAATAACTGGCAAGGCCCACAAATTGTCTGACCTCGTGTACATTTTTGGGTACTGGGAAATTTTCTACGGCTCTAATCTTTTCTTTACCTGGTCGTACTCCTTCAATGATCAGTTCATGTCCCAAATAATCTAGCTCTCGTTCTCGCTGCATCCTACGTCAGGAATACACGTAACTCCTCTCGTAACCAATTGTTCCGCGTCGAAACTCATCGGTTGTTCTGAGGCATTGTAGATAGGTAATACTCCCAAACTTGCTGAGGTGACACAACTGGGTATGATGTATTCACCACCTGGCTTACTGGACTGTCGACGTTCAATAAATACATCCCCTTTGTAGTCGTCCATTGGTTTACAAGTGAGTAGCCCGATGTGATTTGGCGGTATCACTGCTGGTTTCTTGCAGACCAATTTTAAAGACGTGGGGAGGTTGTCGAGTTCTGGCAACAGCGCCATTTCTGAATTAAAAATTCTCAACTCTCCGTTCCTCATAACTAACGTTGCACCCGTTTTTCTTAAGAAAGTCTGCCCTATCAAAACGGACATATTTTGCATTTGTTGGGGCACAATTATTACGTCCACTTGAGTTGAAAATAAATCGACTCGTAACTCAACCGTAATTTCGCCTAAGGCCCTAGTTCGACCACCCCCATAGCCATTAAT